AATACAAAGAAAACCCATAATATAAGATGGCAGAAAAAATGTTATTTAATATAACTTTAAAAATTTAAATCCCTGAAGAGCTTAATCCTTTGCCTATAGGTCTTCAAAAATTTTATATGTTATTTTTGCTTAAAAGAAAATTTTCCTCATGAAATTATTTTATAATATTCTGTTTATAGTTTCCATTATGGTAATATCACCATCAGTCCTTTTACCTCTTCTCTTTGCATTGTTGCTAAAATCATAACTCCATAGCAGTAGCCCATCACTGTTTAACCCAATTATAACAATGCCATCATTCTTGTCACAGAAGGTTCCATAGCAAAGGGATAGGATCAGCAATGAACAAATGCACAATTAAGACAAATGAGACCTAAGGGCAAATTAGTTGAGGAATATTGGAGGAAACATTTTCTTGTCCCTCTCAGAAAAAGAGAGTTTTCAGGAGTCAGATATTCCTTTTTATGGATGTTGAAGCAGATGACCACCATGAGGGAAGGCAGCTTAAGAATAAAGTTGATCCCACACAAGGCAAATAAAAATATACCAACTCTGGAACCTATCCTGATGGATCTGACACTTATGTGAGCCAATCAATCCTATTTCTTGCTTAAGTTAAGTTGGATTGGGTCTTCTATTATTTGAAATACACATAATGAACCCTTACTGATACATTATTCTTTTCTCTTCTTAATTTCCCATTTTCCTAAAAATGTGCACGTATATTAATGTACTAGTATCACATTTCTCAATGTCAGATAGTTTTGATCATAGCTCACTAGCAGATACTTTAGAAGAAACTAACTTACAGGGATGTTTTATGAAAACAACAATATTGAATTTGGGGACTCATCAAAACCTTGATAAATTATGTGAAATATCTTCAAAATATCTAAAGCACACCAATAACAAAAGATGATAATTTCTTCTTAATTTTAATACACTGGGAAAGTATACATCTTATAACTTGGGAATATCTTTGGTTTACTTGCATAATTTCTTATTAATGCAAGCCTATTTAAGCTCCTACTGACTTGATGTATAAAACTCTCCACAATGGCATTATCTGCCTAATACATCAAATCAAACAATGCTGTATGACTCTCAAGATTTTTCACAATCTGGGTCCTCCCACTCTCCATACTCTACCTGCATATAGTGGGACCTCACAAACATGCACCTTCAGGTCCAGACTCTGCACAGCTGTGCTGTCCCTCTCTCTTCCTTTCCATATAACATCTTAATTTTTTCATCTGTGCTTTTTGGTCAAGCCCTCTTCCTCCTCCCCAAGAATAGAACTCTTTGAAATACATAAGCTCTGACACAATATTTGGCTCTAATTATATCTTACTGTGCATTTACCTGTAATGCTTCTGACTTCTTTGTAATTAGTTTGTTAGATCATTGAGAGCAAGAATTGGTATTTCTCTTATAACTACCCTCCAGAGCCTAAAATACTGTGTAGTAAATATTAAATGAATACAGCTTTATTAATTAACTAGAGGCCCTGTGCACAAAAATTTGTGCACTTGGGGGGAGGGGGAGGGGGCCCTCAGCCTGGCCTGTGCCTTCTCACAGTCTGGGACGCCTCGGGGGATGACCACCTGCTGGCTTAGGACCACTTCCCGGGGGGATTGGGCCTAAGTTGGCAATCAGACATCCCTCTGGCAGCTCGGGAGCCCTCAGGGATGTCCACTTTCCAGCGGGGAGCAGGCCTAAGCTGCAGTCAGACATCCTTAGCGCTGCTGAGGCGGAAGAGGCTCCCACCACTACCGATGTACTGGCAGCCGTCAACCTGGCTTGTGGCTGAGCAGAGCTCCCACTGCGGGAGCACACTGACCACCAGGGGGCAGCTCCTGCATTGAGCGTCTGCCCCCTGGTGGTCAGTGTGTGTCATAGTGACCAGTCATTCCCAGTCGTTCTGCTGTTAGGGTCAGTTTGCATATTACCCTTTTATTATATAGGATAGAAGCCTGGTGAATGGGTGATGGCCAGCTGGTTTGCCCTGAAGGGTGTCCCGGATCAGGATGAGGGTCCTGCTGAGGTGCTTGGCCAGCCTGGGTGAGGGGTTGATGGCTGTTTGCAGGCTGGTCACACCCCTTTCAGGGTGGGAGTCCCCACTGGAGTGCCTGGCCAGCCTGGTGCGGGGCTGATGGTTGTTTGCAGGCTGGTCAAGACCCCCACAACCCAGTGGGACCCTCAACCCATGGAGGTTTGGCCAGCCTGGGTGAGGGGCTGATGGTTGTTTTCAGGCTGGCCACACCCCCTTTAGGGTGGGGGGTCCCTACTGGGGTGCCTGGCCAGTCTGGGTGAGGGGCTGAGGGCCGTTTTCAGGCTGGCCAAGCCCCCCTGGCGACAGAAGCTCCCAGCCTCTCCTTTTTTTTTTTATTCTGGGATTTATTTACCTTCTATAATTGAAACTTTGTAGCCTTGAGAGGAGCTCAGGAGCCAAGGTAGGTGGGAGGGAAGCTTGGCTTCTTCCATCACCAGGGGCAACCCAAGCCTCCTGCTCGCTCCAGCTCCATGGCCATGGCCGGCTGAAAGCAGGTATCTGGGGATTATTTACCTTCTATAATTGAAACTTTATTGTTTTGAGTAGAGCTCAGAGCTGGCCAGGGTGGGCGGGCAGGAAGCTTGGCTTCCTCCATCACCAGGGACAACCCAAGCCTCCTGATCGCTCCAGCTCCATGGCCACGGTGGGCTGAAAGCAGGTATCTGGGGTTTATTTGTCTTCTGTAATTGAAACTTTGTTGTCTTGAGTGGAGCTCAGAGCCGGCCGTGGCAGGCGGGAAGCTTGGCTTCCTCCATCATTGGGCCAACCATGCCTCCTGCTTGCTCCAGCTCCATGGCTGCCAGCCGCCATCTTGGTTGGGTTAATTTGCATATAGTCGCTCTGATTGGCTGGTGGGTGTGGCTTAAGGTGTAGCGAAGGTACAGTTAATTTGCATGTTTGTCTTTTATTAGTGTAGATCATGTTTTATTATTTTCTTACAGAATCTGTCACATGAAACTAGAAAAAGATTTTAATTTACTAGATGGACTGAGGGCTGCCAGATTTAGCAAACAAAAATATAGGATGCTCAATTAAATTTAGATTTCTGATAAATAACAAACTTTTTATTGTATAAGCATATGCAGTGCAATATTTGAGGCATAATTATACTAAAAATTGTCTGCCTTATAGTTTAAAATTCAAATGTCATTGGATGTCCTTTATTTTTATCTGGAAATCCTAGATTGGCGTTCCCTACAGAAATATGTGTGCTTATTTTTCTAAATAAGCTAAATACCACATTTATGAATTGCTTACCATTACATAGTTTTGCTAATCAAGTACAATAGTAATGAAGTTCTCTGCATTGTTTCACCTGGTAGTGACAACAAATAAATTGAGTAATCCTTTTCTGAAAGTCACCATGCATGCATGTGTAAAGGGAGCAAAGTTAAACAAAATGGCATTTCTGCCCTCAAGTAATTCATAGTTGGATGGAAGAAGGGAAAGCCCATTTCAGTCCAGCCTCTACTTGGTGTGCAATCCAGATCATCCATTGGCCAAAATTATTTTTAGGCCTAATCCAACCCTCCTGGGCAAAGATCTAAGATGTCACTATACACTTAGGTTGTCAAAAAAGAAATATATTGGTTTTAAAGTATATATTAAATAGTTCTTGCCTTTGAAGTGTTTATAAACACCACAATTAATAATCCTACATAAAAATAATTATTTATAATTTGTTTTGGCCAGCATGCTTTACTTAGAGTTTGATAATGAAGTTAGTTTAATTATGGAAGATTCTTTTTCTAGTTTCTGGATATTTAATGTGCATTTTACTTAGCAAAAGCAATGAAAATGAAAATTTTCTCCCCTCCTAGCCATTGTACAAATCGTTCACAGGTAAATGCCATGTGATTAATTAATTTGAGTCATGTATTTAAATGGTTATTAGGATCCAGTGGTTTAGATTTTGAATCTGGGTCTGCTTTAGTTAATTTTTGGTCCTCAATCTTTTCTGCAATGGAGAACAAGTTCCCAGGAGACATTTTCTTTGCCTGACACAATGTTATAAAGATTTTGTGAGCCCTGACCGGTTTGGCTCAGTGGATAGAGCATCGGCCTGCGAACTGAAAGGTCCCAGGTTCGATTCCGGTCAAGGGCATGTACCATGGTTGCGGGCACATCCCCAGTGGCAGGTGTGCAAGAGGCAGCTGATCGATGTTTCTCTATCATTGATGTTTCTGACTCTCTGTCCCACTCCCTTCCTTTCTGTAAAAAATCAATAAAATATATTTTTTAAAAAAAAGATTTTGTGAGTGCATTTGTGTGTACATAAAGTTTGGTATTAGTTTTTAAATTATTTTTTTCTACATTATATTTATTAAACACCAGGTAATTTGATGATATCTGTAATAATCAAAGATTTCAAATTCCAAAAACATTTTGTGTGTGTGTGTGTGTGTGTGTGTGTGTGTGTGAAAAGTATTTCTTAGACTTAGACCATGTAATTCAAGTTTTTAAAACAATGTCACCTGAACATACATGCATAAAAAATTTTCAGTTCTGAAATAGTATATTTTTTTCCTTTTTAAAAACACAGAAGTTATTGATTTAAGCCACCAATCCATATTTTCTTGAAGGTCATTTTCAACTAAAATAACAAGGCATAATCTAATAAATGATCATTTCCATGGAGTTCAATTGGTTATGAACATATCAGATGAAGTTACAAATGAAATGGAAAAAATAAAATAATAAAGACATTTTCCTCTTAAATATTAGATAAAATGTTACATTGAAAAAATTCTGACTGGTGTTTGTTAAAATAAATTTGTAATATTGATAAATAAAAAAAGGTAATGAGACTATTGGGGTAACTTATACCAATTTTAGTGATTTGTCAGTCACCAGGGCAAAGGGCTATAGTTAGCATTAGCATTATGCCAAGTCTTTGGAAATTATGAAAAACTCATATACAGAGTATATTTTAGGCTGTCAAAATTACCTTGGGTAGCTCTTCAATTTGATTGGCATCTAGATAAAGCTCCTCTAATGTCCGTTCAAAGTTAAAGACTTCTTTTGGCACCTGCTGAAGGCTGCAGTGGGAGTAATCTAAAACCGAGATGATTTCTTCTTCACCTCGGAAACATCGGCACGGCACCAGACGGCCGATGAGTTTCCGTTTGGTGGTCATCTCCAGGCAATGCACTAGAGAAAAACAGAAAAAGAAAAACACAATTGCTTAATCAACTACCTTCTTGTAATATTTAAAACTTAGAAATTTAATGTTGGTATATATTGTATAACTACATATTACTTCAAAATTTATATTGGACATGTCCAAGCATTATATCATTTAATCCTTAAACAAACCTACAAGGTATGTGAGATAGGATTTATTCCCATTTAACAAATAAAACAATGGATTTAGAGAGGTTAAGAGACTTCTCAATATCATACAGTTTAGGAATAACAGAACTGGGCCATATTGCAATGTTATTACTGTACTTCCACTTCCACTTGAAACATGGATCTACGATATGATTTTAATTTTACACAAGTAACAGTGGAGAACAGAAACCTCCAGAAATTGTTGAAAAAATACTTTTCTCCCATTTCTGTAAGTTTCACCACTAAGGTTTATGATGTCTTCTTTTTGACCCACAAATTCATATAATCAGTCAACATATACTCATTGAAAAACCACTCTATTCTAGGCACTGATCTAGGTACTGGGGAGAGAGTGATGAATTGAACAGATTCTCTGTTTTCATGAAGCTTATATTCTATTGGAACAACAAATCAGAGTTGGATTGGTTATGTGCTTAGAATGAGGGCCTATCTTTACGAATCCTGTGATTTTAATGGGAGAAAACAACTTGTAATCATGGCAGAAACCTGTGACATCCTTGGCATGACTTTCTCTAAGTTAAACTGACTAAATACCATAAATTGTGTACAGATTTGTATCATGCACCTACAGTTCTTTATTAAATCTATTATTTTTTATGTTATTCTTCTCATAGACTGTAAGCCTCTTAAGGATAGAAATCATGTTTTGTTCATATTTTGCATTTGTCTTGGTGCTTGACAACAAATATAGAATGATCAAATGAATACAAGAATAAATAAACAAACATGCCTGCGACTCTTTCCCCAACCACATCAGGTACTGATAGCTTGATTGAAAACTTTTCATTCTAACTAAAAGGTCACTCTGTCTGTGATGTCTCCCCAGGAAGAATAATGAGTAGTGTCTTCCTCTGAGTTCCCAGAGCACTAACTATGTAGCTTCCTACTTATTTGTACCACTAGAGGCCTGATGCACGACATTTGTGCAAGAGTAGGCCTTCCTTCCTTACCCTCCTGGCATCGACTTCCCTCTGGCAGCCAGGACCTGGGCTTCCCTTGCAGCCCTGGCTTTGTCCGGAAGGACCTCTTTCATTGACCCAAAAGCATATTACGCTTTTATTATTATAGATTTCCCTATAAGGGAGTTCTGTAGGGGCCCAGGGTAGGCCACCCTAAGATATCCCAAAATGGCATACCAATTATTTTGATTTAAACTTATTTAAGAAATTATCCTGCAAGAAGAAACCCTGATCACTTTGTCCCCCTAAAAGTAGAAGATATATCACCAGGTGATAGCTGCCCTACCTGTTCCAGGGGGCTGACACAACCTTATCATAAGATTTAAAAGAATCCAAAGTCTGTATCAAACTAAAAAAATTTTGCACAGCAAATGAAAGCATTAACAAAATGAAAAGACAACATGTGGAATGGGAGCAGATACTTGCCAATGACACATCCGATAAGGCGTTAATATCCAAAATTTATGAAGAACTCATGCAACTCAACACCAATAAAACAAACAAGCTAATGGGCAGAAGATCTTAATAGACATTTTCCCAAAGAGGACACATAAATGGTCAACAGGCATATGAAAATATGTTCAATGTCACTAATCAGAGAAATACAAATTAAAACCATAGTGAGATATCACCTCACACCTGTCAGAATGGTCAATAAATCAACAAATAACGGTGAGGAGGTGAAGAAAAGAGAACCTTCACACACTGTTGGTGTGACTGCAAATTGGTGCAGCTACTATGGAAAACAGTGTGGAGGTTCTTCAAAAAACTAAAAATAAAACTACCTTATCATCTAGCAATTCCACTTCTGGGAATATATCTGAAGAAATACAAAACTCTAATTTGAAAAGATATATGCATCCCTATATTTATTACAGTGTTATTTACAATAGCCAAGATATAGGTAGTACCTTTCAAGTCTCCACGGGGAGATCTAACACATATTAGGCAACCAATAAATGCATCTAGTAAACATCTGACATCTATTAGGCATCTAGTACATGTTTGCTGAGGTTAGTGCAGTTGTAAAGATAAGTGACAACTGCTTAGACTAAAATAGTAGCAGTGAGGATGGAGAGGAGTGATAAACTGGAAAGATATTTAAGAAGCACAATCAAGTGTTGGTGAAGGATGAAATGAGAGGTGGAAGGGGAGGCTGTGGAGCAAAGAAAGGTGTTTAAGAGATTCCCAGGTTTTTAATTTGAGTCACTAGTGGCCACATTGACCACCCAGCTGTGATGCTGTAGAGCTGACATGTACTCTGTCTGTCTTGATGACATACAGATGAGTGAGGAATCAATTGTTCATGCTTTCTGTCACCCAGTGTCTTGCACTTACCCTTTTGTGCTGAACAGCATGGTTGTTTTTGATACCCACCTTGTGCTACCACCACAAAATTTTTATTATGAACCAAGAGAAATAAGACAAAATCCAGGTCTGCACCTGAACACTTTGGCCAGAGAGAGAGTTCACTGTCCACCAAGATTTCTGGAATTTAATTCATTTATAACTGCTTTGTCTTTCATTGACCCAAATGGTAGGCACCTCTGATCATCTTTTCTGTCCCATCTCTCATCCCCACACTGTGCTGAGGCTGTCCCTGGCTCAACTTCTCTTTCCTCTACACCCTGAACTCTGAGATTATGCCTTACATCATGATCAACTCCAATGAGCCTCATCTTCTTCACGAATGCTCCCTCCCCATCGTAGTCTCAATAGAAACTTGGCTGACCTACAGGCTTTACAAGTGGAACATGATGATTTCCAAACACTTCAGGCTTGGAAAGTGGAGTTGTTATCCTCCTTTGTTCTCTAAAAACTATTACATTACTTTTCTTTCATCCTGTAAAACCTCTGCGCTGTGATGGTCTCATTACCTGGCAGTAACATCACTCTGCCCTTCCTCAGACCTTCCATTTATCATCTCTTGAACAACCTCTCTCCTCACTGATAACTTTGGTATCTAATGCAAGGACTATTTCTCAATCACAATTCTTTCCTGACTTATGCCCCCTACAGATAATAATTTTCAACATTTTAGAGGTTTTTTTCTTACCCTAAAATTCTAAATAACTTGATTACAGTGCTACTACTGACTTTGCAATGACAGGTTTCTAGTGTAAAATGTGGCAGTTTATCTTTCTTCTAATAAATTCCCACATACTTGTAATCAACCAAACAATATTGTTTTAAATTAATAGTATTTATTTTATGATGACTATATTCCACTGCAATTCAATCACATTTTATCTCTTGTGCTTTCTTTTTTCTTTAAAAATTGCCTCTTGTTTTCTTTGGTTGGGTTTTTTATGCACCTTCCACTAATTCAATATCCTATCTCCTCTTGGTATAGCCAAACAAATGTAATTTGATTTTTAATAATTTCTCACTCCCCTGAAATAATCCATTAGAAGCAGTCTATCTTCTTGCTCCTATTTGGGTTGGTTACTTTTTGCTTGCTAGACTTATTGGAATATAATATCCAATGTTGGAATATAACATCTAATAACTTACTGAGAAAGCATCTATGGTAGGTACATTTTTTGAAAACTTTGCATGTCTGAACATGGTTTTATTTCACCCACAAGCAATTGAAAGGTTGGTTGAATATACACTTCCAGGTCAGAAATAATTTTCCTTCTGTATTTGAAGGCATTTTAATTTAATATTTTCTAGCTTTGAAAATGGTTGCCAGGAAATCCAGTCCCATTACTATTCAAAATCCCAGTTTATACCCACATTCCCTTCCATCAGAACATTTTAGAATTTTTATCTTATCTGTAGTCTTTTGAAATTTCATGAAAATGTGCTTTGATGGTGTGTGTGTGTGTGTGTGTGTGTGTGTGTGTGTGTGTGTGTGTGTGTTGTTTTTAAATTCCATTGTACTGGATACTTCATGGATCTCTTCAATTTGAAAGCACTTATCCTTCAATTCTGTTAAATTTTCTGTTATTTAATTGGTAATTTCCTCCTCTTTGTTGTTTTTATTTTCCCTTTTTCTGCAATCCTGATTAGCTGGACGTAGGACCTACCTTTTAGATCTATCTGGTAACAATTATTTTTTTTCTCTTGTAATTTCCATGTCTGTGTCCTTTTATTCTATTTTCTGGGAGAGTTTCTTAACTTTATCTACTAAATCTACTGACTGTATTATCTATATCTGATAGCACATTTTATTTTCCACAAGTTATTTGTTGCTTCCTGAATGGATGCTCCTTTTTCATAGTATGTTAGGGGACCATAAAACGTTAATGTTCTCTTAGATTCTTAGAAGATATCAACAATACATTTTAAATCTTTTTTCCTCCTGTTTCTTGCATTATTTCTGAATTCTATTTTCTGTTTGTTTATTTAGGTCTTTATCTTTCATGATCGGCTTTAAAAAATATCTGCTGATCCCTGGCTGTCCTTCCATATTGAAGAGTGAAGCACTAAAAAGTTAATTGGAAGCTTTGTATGCATAATAGATTTCACTGCAGGATGGTCTGGCAGAAAGCCAAAGAATATTCTCATCTTCTGTCTGGGGCATAGCTATGCAGTTTTGTATATAGAGAAATCCAGTCAATTTTCCTATTTTCAGTACTAAGTCTCTTCCAGTTCCTTGCCTGGTACCTGTTGCCTTCAAAACTCAAAGGAAATCTATGGAGTAAATTACTTTTTGTATCCCTTTGAGAGTACTTTATAATGTAGCTCATAATGTACTTTGCATGTAGATGAAAATAAACTACATCTTCATTCCCTGTCTTCTCAAAATTTGCTGAAATTTCTTATCTCTAGATGTCTTTTATTTTATCTGTCTTTATGGATATATGTATTTTAAAATTTCTTTCATTTGGT